AGCATAATTTTCTTTTCCAATGTCATAGGAAGGCAGTCTTGTTTCTGATTACTTTTGTTACTGTATTTAGAGGAATAACATGGATATCACTCATTGTGCTTAGCTCTTCTGGATTCAGAACATGATTTCCTGTTCAAAATATGTTCAAACTTCAGCAAATCAATTCCAGATATGTCCAAACATTAAATTTGGTGAGGTTTGCACAGATGGAGTTACTGAGTTACTACAGAGAATTCTTTCCCAGCTGTCTGGCTGATGGTTTTCACTCACATGCTCAGGGTCTCAATGAACACCATATTTGAGGTCGAGAAGGAATTTTTCCACAGGTCAGCTTGGCAAAGCCCTTCCTCAGAAGCAAAGGGATATGTCATTTGCTGATAAATGGTGGAATTTTCATAATGTTAAGTCTTTAAATCAAGCTTTGAGGTCTTCCCTACTCAGCCAACAGTTAATGGGCCTATTACAGCAGTGGGTGGGTGTAGTTCTGTGGCCTGCAATGTACAGGAGGTCAGACCAGAAACTGATCATAATGGACATTTCTGGACTGAAAGTCTACAGTAGATTATTTCAAATTTACTAAGTTCTACTTCTGGGCACCCAACTTTACAAATTTGAAATTCCATGTCCGCATTACAGGAAAGAATCAAATGTAGTCTGAAGTGAGCTCCTTTAATGTGGACACACTACCTTGGACTTAGAGCTCCAGGAAGCGCACTAAGGAGCTGCGGGAGTGTTAGCCGAAATGGTTAGGGCAGTGTGTGTGTGTGTGTTACATCCAAGTTTTCAACTGCTGAGACGCAAAGTCTCATTGCAGTGGGCAGCCTAGGAGGCTGGAGGGCGCCCCGAAAAATAGTTTAACGTTTGTGACTTTACTGCTAGGACCAGGGTTCCATCGCAGAGGGCAGCCAACAGGCTCTCAGACGCCCTGGTGTGTGTGTGCGCTATACACCTGAGACTTTAACTGCTGAGACCGGGGTCCCTTGCAGTGGGCAACCTGGAGGAGGTTGACGGGCGCCCCAATAAGTTTATAGGGAGAGCTTATAACACCTCAGATTTTAGCTGCTAGAATCCAAGATTCCTTCGCAGCGGGCAGCCTGGGGAGGCTGAGAGGTGCCCCAATGGATCTGCCACCTGGGAGTGACACAATCCAAAATGCCTAAGCTCTCCCTATACCTGTCCCTTTGACCGGCTGAAGTTCTTTTGTTTGTGTTCGGTTCGGGTACAGCAGCACGGGTTCAAGTCAGAAGCTTGACACTCACTGGCTTATTATAGGAGAAAGAAAGAGAAAATAAAATAAAAGAAACTTGGTTCAATATATATATATTTTATAAGTGAATGAGGGCATCCCACTTATTCCCAAAGTTTATAGCTAAATCACCTTACCAAAGGCAGTTTACAATAGAAATGAAGCAGTTTGCCTTAAGAAACTATAATAAAGTAACTAAACTTACCCTGCGTTCCAGACTTGGCGTGGCCAGCGTCTTTCTCTCAATCCCTCGGGAAGAAGTAGGGCGAGGTTGGGCGTCCCACGGACCTCGGGAGACAATCAATACCTGCCAGCAGGTCTAGGTGATTGGAGCTCAAATGGGGTGGGCAACTAAACCCTCTTTATACCCCTTGGGTCACATGGGCTTCTTCCTGGTCTAAGTGGCCAATCAGGAAAAATGGCTTTGAATGCCAAGTTTCCCACGAAGGGTGCAAAGCATAATTCACACCTGGGAAGATGCAGACAATGGGCACCTCTGGTATGTGATGGGCGAAGATTCCTCTCCTGAGACAGTGCAGGCGTGTCAATTACTGATACTAGCCATCATGGCGATGGGAGGCCTCCCAGTCGTCAGCTAGCCCATTTACTGTCTGGTTTCTGTTTATGGTAGAGTCAGGGACAGTCACCACACCTGCGTTCCTAGGGCATCAAAGGCTGACTGCCTTTCTCTTGCTCTCTGGGGGGGAAAAAACAAGATGGGGTTCGTGGAAAAACAAGATGGGGTTTGTGTCTGGCTACAGGGAGGCCTTCTGAAGGCCAATTAGTTTGAATTAGCAGCACCAGATCATCCACACTTACATTATGTTTCAGACTTAATAAGTTCAGAAATAGCGTTATTCCTCGTGATCTATACCAGGGGTCTCCAAACTACGGCCCGCGGGGCGGGCGCGGGCCGCCCCGGGCCCCC